GCAAAATCCCTCGAGCTCGCTCAAGAACGTACTTTGGCAACACCTGGTTCAATTCCTCTCCGAGAGATTTGGCCGACTAGCCCAAGCCACGGGCAACAGCGAGCTATGGAAGGAAGCCACTGCCTCGTCCATGCTAACGTCCTCTGGCGCATGGCCCTACCTGATGTGGTGCGCCAAGGAACGACGTCTCAAGATGACGGAAAGAACACCTATCCCCATGGTCAAGATGCAAGCGCAGATCGAAGAACTTGTGGAGATCTCAACGCAGCAGGACCAGATCATCCGCTTCAAGTCCTTGAAGGCCATGGGGGAGAACATGGAGGCATCGCAGGTATGCCCCTAGCCTGGTTGATCCAAGTCAGCATGAGACATCAGAGATTATGGGAACTCCTCCAGCTGCTCTCGGGATCTGCCCTCTGGCTTCTGATCCAGGCCAGACTCCGGCCGCATCAAATGCGAGAGAATCCACTGGCCAGGCTCTGGCCAAGAGCTCCGCAGACCGCTACCCAAAGAAGAAATGACAGGACTCGGAACACCTGCTACCAAAATGCTGCAGTGCTCTCCATGGGTTGGGCCATTCTTCACCTGAATGATGGGATGTGGAGTGACTTTGGGGATGGTGAAGCTGCCTATGTGGACCTGTGCAGTCAGGAATCTCTTTGGGTGAGCCTCGATGCACTCAAGACCTTCCAGCCATTCCTTCAAGACTGGTGTCAAGGTCGACAACAGGACGTACATGAGTTCACTCAGGCTTTTCTTCACTGGATGAAGCCACCAAGCATCGGAGTTTCATGGCATAGCCGCCTTGAACGTGAGGGGATCGTTCAAATCTCCGATAGCGGTGCAAAATGGATGCCTCCCACTGTGTCGACTAGTGATCCAACATGCAAGCACACACATGTTCAGGAGCTCCTAGATGGATGGCAAACATATCGTGGAATGAGCGCATCATTTCAAACTGACAGCCGTATCATTGGAGTGCATGTTGACCGCTATGCCTTGGACCACTCAGGCCAACCTTGCAAGCAAGTCTGGCACCTGGATGTCTCTGGAACCATTCTTTTTCCAATTCAACCTGAAAACACCCTCAGAGTTGATCTGATTGAGTACCAGGTCATTGCAGGAGTTGTCCATATTGGAGGGGATCAACGTGGTCACCTGCAGGCTGTTGGACGTGATGAAGCTGGCTGGTTTCTGTTTGATGATGATGCAGAGGCTCGCCTCCTACCTGATGATGGTGTATTGAGGCAGCGCTGGACCTTTCTCTGGCTGATTAAGGCTGATGCATGCAGCCAAGGTCACCCCCCGCTTTCCAGTTCTTGGTCATGATCAAAGGGTTTCTACACTGGTTCATCGTTTGAAGCAACTGGATTGGAACCCTGCAGAGCATATGGCCCACTTGCCCAGGGAACTTGAGATGTATTTTCGAGTGCATTGTGCTGTTTGCGGGAAGGTGATCTTCAACTATGAGACCTTGAACCGGCATGTGAGGTTGAAACACACCGCCCTTTGGCAAGACATCTTCACGCTGCCTGCCTTTCAGCTTAGTAAGTTTTGCGTCTCTCAGCTTCCATGCCATAGATGTGGAATCAAAATTGTCTTCCCCCGGACCTGGAGCACAAATGCCACGTGGAGCTGAATTATCGAGTTGTGCTGGCGTATCATGAAGAGCATCTTGCACCACGGAGCTGCAGAGGAGCAGCCCCATCTTGATGGATTGGCGGCTTGGCTTCACTAGCTGCCTCTTCGGCTGGAGATCGACTACTGAGGGCAGCTGCCAGTGAGTGAGGCACCAATCGCACCTGTTTTCCCTTGGAAGGTGCCTAGTTTGCTCCGTGTTGTCACGCCTTGATGGCAAAGCCAAACTGGCTTGAAATCCTCCTGTGAGTTTTGAAAGGTTTTTCTCCTTTTTCGAGGAGGATCTTGACGATTTGACTTGTTTGCATGTACATTCTGCGAGTTGTGGTAGGCACACTCCCATAGCTGACCCTCTTTTTATGGAGCCGGCTGGAGACTTCAATTCTTTAGAAAATGTATGCCACACTCTCACCATGGCTAAAGGCCTTGGCTGGCCATAGAATTCGAACTACCTGAGTGATCAGCAATAGCGCTTTTTCTCGCTCGCCCTCCCGAAGAGCACCTCGGTGCATTAGCTCCAAGAGGAGCCGGACCTTAGTGTCTGGTTGGCCCGCTTCTTGACTGCGGTCGAGTGCGCCGCAAAGTCAAAAAAAGTCTTGGTTCCCTGGTCCCTTGGTCCTTTGGTCCTCTGGTCCCTTGCTCCTCTGGTCCCTTGCTCCTCTGGTTCGTTGGTCCTCTAGTCCCTTGGTCCTCTGGTCCCTTGGTCCTCTGGTCCCTTGGTCCTCTCATCCTCTGGTCCTTCGTCCTGGTCTTCGGGTACTTGGGTCTGCACTTTCGAGGCAAGACGCGTTCAAGGTGATTTGGAAATCTGGTCATACATCCTGTGAAGCACTGTAGCAGACCTTTCATCACCAGACGTAGCAGACCTTTTTTGTGCGCCACCCTGACGGTATAATTTGAACGAAGAAGGTGCCATTCGAAGGTAGCAAACCTTTTGTCAGCCACTGGAGGGCAAAATTTAGAAGAAGAAGGAACCATTCCAACGTAGCAAGCTTTTGTTTTGTGAGCAACCGCGCCTGCCAGGCAATCTGCACTCAAGTGCTGCGCGTGCAATGAAATCTGCAGTTCCAGTGCACAAAGTGCTGCGCCTGCCACGCGCCCTGCAACCGAAGGTGCTCAAAGTGCTGCGCCTGCCACGAAATCTGCACATCCATATTCACATCGCGCAGCGCTGCCAAGGCGGTTCGCAGTGGCAGGCGCAGCTCTTTGTGAAAGGATATTTTCTTTTTGGTACTAATTCACTTTCTTTTTGATAGGATATAGAAAATTGTTTTTTGATATATATTTATTTATTTTTTGATAGCCCGGCCCGCCAGGGAGGCGATGTGTACACATAGAATGCGGCCTCCATGGTCACTGGTACGTGCGTTTTTGGGCCCATTTTCAGGGCCGTTATATATCCTTGTTGTTTAATGCATTTTTCCAAGGAAGTTCTACATTTTGGGAGAGAATTTGGGCAACCAAGAGATTGAAAGATGATGGTAGACTGAATGGAAACCTTTCCTTTTGCCTCTCAAACGACCAGATTGTGCCCGGGCTGTGATGAACATATATAATTATATAGTTGCCATCTAAAAACAAAAAACTAATCCTTTTGTGCTGTGTTGGTATCCACAGTCGGCTGGAGGATATTGTCCACCAGCAATACACATTGCTGCTCCGACGTTCTATTTTTCAATACGTCTATACGGGAGGACTGGAAGATGCAATACATGAATTGTAAGGACGGCGCAACAATCTTCCAGCCCACCCCAAAGTTGGAGTGCCCAAGAATGCCATGTTGACGTGGATAAATAAGTTGAAGGCAAAATCATGGTTTCCCTACCCAGACTTTCACATGTAAGTTGCCTTGTCCTTCATTGCCTTTCATGTCCCTTGTCTTTTACAGACACATTCTGCATGTGTGTGACCGTTTGTGGCGTGCGCAGTGCACATTCTCATCCCTTCCTTTGTCTTTTCCATGCCAAAAATCTCCTGAATACACTATCATCTGCACTGTATGATCACTCCTGTCCGTGCAATGCCTGAAGCAAGGGAATGCGCTACTATGGAACGTGTTAAAAGGCCATCGTCAGGAATGTAGCGTCAAGGAGGCTTGCTGCGACAGGGAAGGTTAGCAGAAAAGGTGGTGAATAGAAGGTCAATGGAGGAACGGGAAAACAGCAAGAACGGAAGGGAGCGAGAAAGCGAAACACTAGAATCATGAAATTCCATAATTTTGAGGTGACGCGGAAATTGGCAAGTGCTGCGACGCGTCATTGCTCTTCTGATGTTACTTTTGTTGTACATCCATGTTCTATACCAGTCACCTTTTGAGTGGTTCTATGATGTCTGGTAATAAAAATTCCAGGCAACGGACTGAAAGATAGAATGTTCAAGGACACCAAAGTCAGGGCTCATTTTTGTAATTTTTTTTTTGATGGGAGGCATTCTATCATGGTATAAATTTCCATTTAACTGAGACATTTCTAACTGTACTCGGACATTGAAAAAGCGGCGTTCTATCTGTGGCACACAGGATCTAAGCTCAAGGCTTGGTTTGAGCCAAACTTTATGTGAGGAACAAGAAGCTACTAGGGGCTCCTGGCATCGCTACTAGGAGCAAGGATGCTACTAGGGGCTCCTGGCCTTACTACTAGGAACAAGAAGCTACTAGGAGCAAGTAGAAGTGGAAGGGGAGGCAAAGCTAATGGGGTGAGATTCAATCCTGTTGAGCTCCATGTGCTTTTCCTCGATGCCAGACGGTGGTGGTTGACTGCTGAGGTTTCATGCTCACGCATTCCGATCTTCACAATACGAATTAACATACACAGACATCCGTCCTTTTATTTTTGCTTTTAGATCAAGCCCAGCGTTGAAGGTGCTGAACATGCTTGTGTAACAACATCCAAACCAGGCTCGTCCGCCATAGTGCAAGGCTGACAAGCCATGCTGCGAGTCATTCAAAGTCACTTTAACAATCATTTAGATGTCTCACTTGGAGCTGGTACACGCATGCCTACGGTGCTTTAGAAACCCCCTTCCTGTTCCCTTCACTTGAATTTATACCAGCATAGACCCCAAACAGTTTCAGTTGATTCTACTTTTTTGGTCAGCTTCTTGGATTCCAATGTTAGTGGACACGTTTCAAATTGAATTCCTATAGTTTCCAGCTGTTTGAGAACAGCAAAGCAAGTTGGGAACATGACGATATTGAAAGATCTGGACAAGGCTGGACAAGGGCGGAGAAGACATGGCCCACGGCACGGGCAAGCACATAGACCCGGACACGGTCCGACAAGACGAGGTGGTGAAGAAAGGGCGGCCACGGCAAAACCCGGAGCCCGGCCCTGCTTTTCCTTCTCCTTCAGCCAAATTCCGAGGAGTTTCCTGCAGCCAAACCTTTGGATCAGGCACGTTGCCGGCCCCTTTCTTGGCCATAAGCTTTGCTATCTTCATGCAGCATTTTCATGGAAACGCCTTCAAAGCAAAACGTCAGTTCTATTGTAATTATAGTTCCAATCTTGGTTGCTTTTCTAGCCCTTTTTACACGTTGGGAAAGCCGCTGCGGCCTCGGACCTCCCCACAGGAAGCCTTCGCTGAGTTTGTCGCCAAGTTTCGTGGCGCCGCTCGGGCCACTTAGACCTTCGGGACTTGTAGGCTTAGTTTGGGAAGATCAATTTGCGTGGGTAAGGATATCAACCAGTTCCCACGTTTGCTTCACGAGGAACAAACCATGACATGGGTTTCCCAAACTGTCCAAGAATCAAATCCATAGAACACGGAAGGTTTGTTGACTCGAAAATGATATGGAGGACCTTTGCAACAAGTGATAGCCACTCTACTTTGACCTCATGTTCTTTTTGCAGCTCGTGCATACAGTAATATGCAGGTTCCCTTTGGAGAATTCCCCAGGAAGAGCAGGTAACAGTCGATGCACAAGGACGGGAAGACACTAAAGACACGTTGTAACTCTTCAACACGATAGGCAAGTCCATTGGAAATAAACTTGTAAGAGTAGATCAAATGTTGGCCTTTGAGCCCTTAGGAGCTTCATTGCCCTGGTGCCTTTGAGCCAAAGCTCAGCACGGTTCGGCAGCAGTTGTTGGCGCACCTGAGCCTCAGTGAGTCTGCCAGCATAAAGGCCTGGTGGGCCAAGATTGCCAGAAGTGTCGGGCAATATTGAGAGCACATACATTTCTCTGTTTGATGGTGGGAAAGGGCAGCAAAGAAGGGAGAGAAATCTGGATGACCTCCTGATATGCGCTAAACCGCTAAAGCAAGATCATCATTTTAACTTGAAGCTACACAGAACACCATCGGTCATGAGCAGTCCAAAGGAGCTACGCATTTCAATCCCTTGTCATGGTAAGCAAAAGAGCCTTCCAGCCTGGAACTGCGATTCATTTCCAGAACGGGAATTTGTGCCAGAATCCCGCCAGGAGATGACTGGCTTTAAAGGGGGTCTGAATCAGGGAATCTGGATCGTGTCTGATTACAGCCAGAAGCTTGTCCTGAAGCAGACCAGGCGCACTAGGTTTCGGACAGTTGTGGCTGTGTGAGATGGCCTGTTGCAATGACAGAACCACTTGCTCTTAATTAATTGTATGTCAGGGATGCTTTTCACAAGCCTTGCCAAGACGATCTTTTTTAGTTGGATGTATTTGCCGGAAGCTGCCTGGCTAGTTGGCCGAAGGAGGCCTCAAACTGTGTGCATGTCAGGTGTCAGCGCATTGCTGTCAATGTCATGACGGAGGCGGAGAACTTCGTGCGAATCGCGCGAGATCATCCAGAGTGACTCGGTGCAGCATGGACATCCCTTCAGATTTCCGAGAGTGTGATGCCATCGTCCACAGTCACTGAGTGAATTATTCCTTCTCGTCAAAATCGTTCTGGTGAAGTTATGCAGTGGTTGTGCTAAGGATCACCAATGATCCAATGATCGCTTTCCCTGTGATCCTTGGGCTTCATGTGACGTGGGGCTCTTTGGGGATGCAAGCTATCGAAGAGAAAGGAAGCACAACCCTCAATCCTCTACATACATGAATGCTTGCGAACAAACACCAGCCGTGCAGACAGTGCATTCCTTTTGATTGTGGCTCTGGGCTTGCTGAACAAAGAGGGGAGACGCATCAAAATAAAGATAAAATGCATCAATAAATAAACAAACATGCTTCAAAAAAGAAATAAATATGCATCAAAAAAAACATAGAAAGAAACGAGCAAAGGAAGGAAGGAAGGAACGAGGCAAGAAAGGAAGAGGAAGCAAGGAAGGAAGGAAGGAAGGAAGGAAGGAAGGGCTAGCGGGAGGAAGGAAGGAAGGTAGGTAGGCAGGTAGGTAGAAACGAAGCAAGAAAGCAAGGAAGGAAGAAAGGGCTAGCGGGATGGAAGGAAGGAAGGAAGGAAGGAAGGAAGGCTGTGAAATTGAAATGCGATGTTGCAAAGCTTTGCCCAGATGCCCAGCACAGAGACCATTCCAGTTATCAAAGGAAGATTCATTGGGGAAACTCCATGCTATTTGTTTTTTGGTCGTGCCAAGTGACATTCTTTCATTTTCATGTTCATTTCATGTGATTTTATTGTTTGTGTTTGTTTTTATTCTTTGATCACTGCTTCGAATGGATTATTGTTCTTCCCTCTGCACGTTTGGGTCCGTTTATTTTTGTTTTTTCTTGATCACACTGAAATATGTTTATGTTTTGATGCATTTATGTTTTTTTGTTGATCCCCCGCCCGTTAATGGAATATTGCTCTTCCCTCTGCACGTTTGGGTCCGTTTACGTTTTTTAATGTTTTTTTTGATTCATTTTTGTTTTTTTATTGATCCCTCGCCCAACAAAGAGCATCGCTACTAGGAGCAAGGACGCTTCTAGGGGCGGTCCGTGTTTTGAGATGCGCCCAGAGTTGGACCCTTACTAGCACTGCGCTCAGGAAGATCTTTAGCTGCATAGGCTCGAGGGTGAGATGATTGCTATTGGTGTTCAAGGATTTGCAGATTTTATGTAATAAATTCGCTTTCGATGACTGTTCATCGTTTCTATAAGCATCCTCAATTTGTCAAGATGCACATATGAAAATCATAAAGACAGGGAAGATACAATACAAGACATAAAAGCATTCGGTCAGGTCCAGAAGGGAAGATCAGCGATGTGATCGCCATGAAGAAATGCCCTGGGGAACGGCTTTGCGAGTTCGTGGCCCACAAGTTTTATGCAGCTTCGACCGCTGTCCGATTGTGTTTCGCTGTCCGGGTTGGTCTTCCGGATCTTGTCTTGTGAGGTGAACAATTGATAATTGGGGAGCTAAGACTATGAACAAGCACTTTTATACGAAAGGTTTGCGGCTTGACATCGAGGATATTTGATGAACAAGTAACAGTGAACATGATTAATACCATTTGATGGGTCACCTTTTGCTTTGGAACATCCTTCTCAGTTTTTTTTGCTTTTTAATTTTGCTTTGGATATAATATATATATATATATATAACTCCTTGTTTTATTTCGACTTTTGCAGAGTGATAGAGTCCAAGCAAAAAAACACTGCCAATGCCTATGATACCTTCCTCGGACAGCGTGTGGATGCATTATCGTCTGGTTATCATGTGGCGTGTCAAACTTTGAGGCCAACCAGATGTCGCAGTTGACTCATGCGCTGGAACTGGTCGGTCAGAGTCTTTCACAGTTTCACTTTCGCTTCTTGGTTCTCAGAAGACCGGTGCCGCTGGACATTGTTTTGCAACATTTGACAACTAGTCTATGCATGGGTTGGTGTGATGTACGCAGGATAGAGGGAAGACAATCCACCCAAGCAGCATGTTTTCAGGCCCTTATTTTCTCATTCGCCTCACCTTCCAGGTTACGGCCACGAGCAGCATGGTGACTTTCAACCCTCCAACATTTACTATGAGGAAAGCACGGATACCGTGACCTTCATTGATGCACGGGTCCTCAGAACGACAAGTCGGAGCTTCCGTGAAAGCTGAGTAAAGCTAGTATATAGCATGGACAAGTAGCTCAGGCTTCTTCAAGGAAGCTTTTCCTACCTGGAGGGGCTTCCTTGAAGAAGCTTTGCGCCATTCATTTGGTTCCTAGATTTTTGGGGAAACTTAACTTGTTCTAAGTGGTGCTATCATGTCTTCAAGTTTGACTTCATGCTTTAGCCGGTACAGCATTGAGCAAAGGAAATACTGCATCTGAGAATCGTAATTACCGGACCAAAAAGACAGCTTCGTGAAACTCTGTTGTAAATGTCCTCAAAGTCGTTCCTTCGGGTGAACCAAAACTGTTGTTGGTTCCCAAGATGCATTCAATTCCCATTTCCAGCATTTGCGTGCCAACAGTTCATTTCCAGGTTGGTGGAATGGGAGTGCCAACTCTTGGGGGTGATGTGGACCATTTCCACCAGTGTGTGCGCATCTCAGTGTCGCAGGGTGTCGGGACATCGCAAGTTTCAGCGACGTCGCAGTCGCAGGGTGTCGGGAACTACTGTCAGTCTTTCCAGGAGTAGGTGGAGTCTCAATTGAGACAGGACATAGATGCACTTTTTTCCGCCCGAGGTGCTTTGCTCATGTGAAGTCACATGAGAAAAGGAAGTTCACTTTCACCAAACTCTGTGCTGAGATCCGGGCCATGACCTCAAGCTACCAAGCGAATCTGTTTGTCGAGCTGTTGAGGGCCTTCGACAAGGCCATGCCAGCTGGAATGCTTCGAGCTTCGGTCGAGCTTGGTCGGACCGTAGAAACACCTGGGAGATTTTCCACTCGACTAGTGACTAGACGGCTTGTGCAACATCCTTGATATCGCTAGCAGCAAGGACGCTACTAGGGGCTCCTGCTCCTGGCATCGCTACTAGGACCAAGGACGCTAGTAGGTTGGAGGTCTCAAGCCGCCTGAGCCGCCGATGTTGCAGGGATATCAATCTCCTTGCACTCCCCGACTCCAACAGGTGCCCAGGGACGGCGGAGTGGAGTTGTGTTCATCGTGGAAAAGAACAATCTATTTTGAAGGCAAAACGACATGTGCTCAACAATTGGGTTATACAACGATATGTTTGCGAGAATGAAATCTGACAGACGGCGCGTTTCACTGTCAGGTTTGCAGCAGAACAAAACCTCTTTTCTTGCAAAAGAATGGGAGAGTAGGAGAAAAAAGGAGAAGTTGAGACTTGGACATTGGCCAAAACCAGACAGCTCAAAAACAGAGTCCGAAGTTTGGCCGTGGGGCCGTGGAGCCACCTGTCCGAATCCCCCGGCTGGGTTCCTCTCCTCTTCCTTGCCCGTTTTGGCTCACCAGGGTTTCCGTGCACTTCGATAACCGAAGCTGACGGACTTTGGCCTCTGGAAACACGAGAGGCGACACGGATCGGTTTCCGGGACAGGGTGGCTGTCCAAGCTGTTGTAAGGAAGATGGAACTGTGACTCAACAGAGGAAGAAGAATGACAAGTTGCAATGCAGATGCCACAAGGAAGATGAGTAGCCAGGTTTGCTCCAGGAACAGTTGTGAACCTGTGCAACCACTGCAGAACCACTTTGGGGGGAGGAAATGAACATGAAGGGTGTAGCATAGTCTCTATCACACAAAGAAGTTCAAAAGAGAAAGGAAAGGAGAAGCCGGGAAAAGAAAACAATGGATGTGGGTACTATCCACATCTACATAACGTTTACTTCGATGATTATTCAGAGGCTAGGGATACCCTACAGATCGAAACATTTAGAGTCATCAGCAACCATACAAGCCCCCAACATTTGTTGGTTGGCACACATCCTCGCACTTGCGCAAAACGGCTTTAAGTCTCCAGGAATTCTCCTACCTGTTCGACAAAGGCCTCTGCCGGGAACATGACTTCCTGCGCGTCGGCACCATCTACGGTGGGCACTTCCATTTGACCCACGTAGTCGGGATAGGCGACAGGGTGCTGCGACAGGGTGAGGCCGTGGTGGATCAATATAGAGTGGAAGTTCCAATGTGTTCGAAGTTTGGGGTTTCTTGCTTGGGGTTCTTTTTTGTATCTTTTGTATTGGGTACATGGACATTTGTCCACACGATTTTTTGTTGTTCTACTGGGGTGTGAGCTTTGGGGAGTGTGAAAAGTGAACGTGTTATGGCGACTTCTTGCAACTCGCCACTCGCTATGGGAGCTGATGGAACGGTGTTGGTTTTCGGGCTTGTTGATGCTCGTTGCTTCCCTGGCCTTTGCATGCCTTTGCCAATTCCAATCAACGCATCCGCAACATCACAACTTTCCTAGCTTTGCTTCCCGACAGGTCTCTGAGTCGCCCGGAAGCGGGCCTCTTTTTCCGCCAATGTTCTCCAGCACGAGCCTGTGCCACGCTTTCCTCCTCACACGCAAAGATGAGTGGCCTAGAACCAAGTAGCGTCTTGCAGCTGGCCACTCTGAATTCAATCAACTGCTTTGGCTTTTGTGGATTGCAAGATTCATTCTCTCTCAAGCTTTGTCCGTTTGAGCCAAAGAATCCAATGTCTCCATAGGTAGCCAGTTCCTTCATTCAGGAACTTCTGTTTGTCGAGACACATCATCATTGCATTTTTTGCTGCGGAGGGTTTCTGCATTTCCCTTGACCTGGCCACAGCATGAGTACTGTGCTGTTCGACCAAAGAACAAGGGGCGTGTGCCAAGGAAAGTTGAGGACATCTCTTCTGAACTGAATTCGGTGCTGTGGCACTGGCTGCAGACTTCCATGTGGGAGCTTCATGTGTGTTTAGCTGCTTGAAGCCCGGCTCACAACTCCTACTGTATCTACTTGCAGTTATATATAGAGAGCGGGTGGTCATGGCCTGGGTTTTGGTTTTCCCAAAATTTTAGGTAAATGCTTTAGTGGCAGCCCCTCTCCATATAAACGCACATATAATCTATTCCTGCTCTCTCTATACGAACAATTATATTATGTATTCCTGAGTCAGGGTCATTTTATGGTTTTGGAAGCAGCAATCAGTCATTCAGATGGTTTTGAGCAAGATAATTAGGAAAGAAGCAGGCCATAACAATAACAGTGTTTATTTTAACAATTGTCCTCTAGATCTCTGCTTGTAATTATGTTTTGATTTGGACATATTGTATATAGACGCTTTCATGTTATAAAAGATTCTCTATAGATCTCTGCAGATAACCCAGGCCCCATGGCCCACCCCTTCTGGATATATATATATATATATGCAAAGGGCCCCGTGAGAATATCAACCTTTGGAGGTCTTCATAAGTCTTCAAGACCATTCAGAACAACTATCGTGGAGGTGCTACACAAAAGAACCAGATGGCAGCCGAGTTGATAGTTTGGTAGTGCGCAGCATTCCAAGCCGGTTCGCTATTGGTTAAAGAAAGACCAGCCAAGAGATGTGGATTGAGCAAAGAATACCAGCCAGTGCCGGAATTGCAGAAGGCCAAGTTTTTTAGACCCGGGTAGGCTGGTCGCCAGAGTTAGCACATGTTCCCACAGCCTTTTGGGGCTTAGAGCTCTCACCTGGTTCATTATCCTTAGTAGTGTCCATTAACAAACTCAGAGATCAAGATTGTTCGCACTTCCTATGGCCCCATGGTCAAGTTCTTTCCCTGGTGACTCGGGACCAGGTCATCCCTGTCTCCGTCCGAAGCGAGGTGGCTCGCTGGGAGATGTTGAAAAGTGCGGCATTGAAAGAATTAGGATGACCTCGCCAGCTTCGTGTGGATTGACGACTAAAGCAGCTCCGTCCGTAAAAAGGTCGCTGGATTTTTGGCCGCAGACTTCTTTATAGCAGATAGGATGGTGTTTGGTAGCAGCAGAAGTCATGGCGTCCGCTGCTTTGCTGAAGCTCGAGGTTGGGTGGTGTCCGAACGGTGTTCCAACACACACACACACACTTATAGAAATGCGCACTGACTCGAATGCCACTCGCCGCACGGCAACCTAAGAAACCAGAATCCTGAAAAACCAGGCAAGGGGGCCTGAGCACCTTTAGTTAAAGGCCAGAAGTCAAACTCCACGATGCGACGAACCGATAGGTTGACGACGTGCGCTCATGTCTGCCAAGCTCATTAGCGCTTTGCAGGAAGTTGGGGTCACAGCTTGTTCAAAAGTTCAAACCGTCGCAGGTACGTCACGGTGATCAGCCGTGATATCCGCATGTACTGTGGCCGCTTCGTTGGACCAGCGCATGGATGGTCCCCCTGCTAAAGAAAAATCAAGCGGTAAAGCAATCAGAAAGGAACCTCGTGACTCCACAGCTACACACACACACACACGCCTCCCCGAGGGGAGGCGTCCTTTTCTGCTAAGCTCCAGACGAGAGTCAGGTTGGGTGAGAATGGGGCCTTTGAAATGGGAGTGGAGGTAATCGCCAAGCGGGAACGAAGCATTCCCAAAATGAGTTCCAACAAAGCATGTACATGAAGAATTTCGCGATGAAGAACCGCCTGAGCCACCATAGGGATGCCCTTCATCGGTGCTAGGCCAGCAGGAGATGGTGGCATGGCGGGTGGACCGGGAACAGAGGGGAGGAACTCATGACACTCTGAGGCTCTGACAGGTTTCAATGAACCTTGAACAAGCTTCGGCCGCTGCGGCATGTACGCCGTGCCAAAATGGCTGGCTGCTTAGACCGCTGCGGTCACGTAAAGGCGTGAGCCAGCTTGGAGTTCAACAATTCAGCAAGTCTTGGCAAATAGCTTTGGCCTAGGCCACCTACGCTCCGTTCGACGGGTCCACAGGGGCCACTCCTCGGGGCACCCCGGGCTCTCGCGAGGAGAGGCACACTCATAGAAATGCGTACTCTCGAATGGAAACTAAGAAACCAGAATCTTGAAAAGCCAGGCAAGGGGGCCTGACTGAACACCTTTAGTTAAAGGCCAGAAGTCAAACTCCACGATGCGACGAACCGACAGGTTGACGACGTCAGCTCATGTCTGCCAAGCTCATTAGCACTTTACAGGAAGTCGGGGTCACAGCTTGTTCAAAAGTTCAAACCGTCGCAGGTACGTCACGGTGATCAGCCGTGATATCCGCACGTACTGTGGCCGCTTCGTTGGACCATCGCTCAGAGCACATGGATGGCCCCCCTGCTAAAGAAAAACCAAGCGGTAAAACAATCCGAAAGGAACCTGTGACTTCAGAGGGTACACACACACATGAGTCCGCGATCAACAGAATGTTGAACAAATGTTGCAAAAGCGCTCAACGAAAGCGGCGATCAGCAGCTGCACTGCGGAGGGAAATTGGTTTAGGGAGTCGCGTGCGAAACCACCATGGAATCAAAACGACCCTATAGATCGGGTTAGGCAATTTTTTGTCTAATAGTCAATTCCA